CGTCAGAAGTCTGAACATAGGAATTACAATTTATGATTTATAAACTTTATAACAAACTGAAAAAGGTCTCTGAACCTTAATTTAAATAAAAACAAGACCTATGAGAGATAGTCAAAAAGTATTGCTACTGCAGTTGGAGACAATGATCTTAAGCATTCATGAGCGGCCATCTAAGGTGTATCCATCTAAGGAGCTGCCATCTAAGGTCTCTCCCTGTCCAGAGGAAAGAAGAGTGATGAAAACTGGAAATCATCAGTCACTTGGAAACAATGGGCTCATGGACCACGTGCACAGCAGTCTCCACAACCCTGAGACCAGAAGAACTAGATGGTGGTCTGATACTACCACCTGTTTTGAAAGGGATCATATTAGAATGTCATGGATAGAGTGGGGAAAAATGTAGAACAAAACTCAAAATCATTTAAAAATTCTCACTGACATAAAATACATACTTGAGGGGGAGAGAAAGGAATAGCCAGAAATATTACCATAGAAAGCTTGTAAGTCCATCTTTTGCCTATAACTGATTGGAATACCTAATATGGGGCTACAACATGTCCAGTGAATGAGGCTTGCTGAGGAGGCTCTGCATTACATAAGACCATAAGGGGAATCCTGAACCCCATCCAGAATCTTCTGAGGTGGGAAATTTCCACTTGAAAGGACAAGCAGACCAGCCTGAAACAGCGAGAAGAACAGAAGATACTTCTTGAAAGAAAGACCTACAGGAAAAGTACAAAACAATAACAGCAGTCCAACTGACCACTATAAGAACAAGCAAGTTGTTTGCCCAGGAGATACCAAGGCAAGCAGTAGGGTCCCCTCAGAGCAAACCCCCTTCTAAGACTGAGACTCAATAGGAATACATGAGCAGACACGTGCTCTGACTGGTGACCACGTTGGTCAACGATAGGGGGAAGTGAGGGAAAAACAGCAATAAAGCTGTGAGCTACGTCCAACCATGTTCTATACACTCCTGTAAACCTGGATGGAGATCTGGTTGGCCAGCAGTTTGGCAAGTCCTGGGGACTTCTAGGCCCAGAGTCAGTGACATAGCCACAGAGGACTAGAGTGGAGAGTGAATCAACAAGCTGATAAGAAGAGAGGGCATATGCACAAGAACAACCACACTTGCAGATAAATACCCACTTGACCTGGCTTCAATGGCTGGAAGATCAGAACTCGACTAGAAGAAGAAAGAAGAGGAAAAAAAGAGTAACCCACTACAATTTGATGAACTTGACCTACCTACACCTATGAATGAAGTAGCTCAAAAAAGGGAATAAATCTTTACAGTGAGGATCATTCCCATCCCCCTAAATACACAGGGTAGACAGGGATGGGCAACTTGGACACTGGCTACCCAAAATGAGGGATGCTATAAAGGCAAGAAGTGACTGGCTTACAAGTTTTCAAGAGGGAGCCTAGATCCAGAGGGTGCGGAGGAAGGTAGAATCTCCACTGAGTAGTACCCAATCTGTCTGGGCAGGGCTGATGAAAGGAGATGGGGACAACACTCATGTGGTACTAATAGTGAATAATTACTATAGGATTGACTGTGAGGGTTGGAAATATAAAGGTAGATGTTTTGTAGCAAGGAGGAGCATGATTAACTTTGCAGTCTAGGAACGGAGGTCCCTGGGACCATCAAGGGAGAAGAGTGGAGAGCAAGACCTTACCCAGAGAAGCAGTGACACCAGAGATGGAGACAGAGACAACGATGTGGAGAGACAGAGCAGCTGGGGACTTTAGACCCAGAGAGGGGCTTTGTGCTGACGACCGGGGGGGGTGGGGAGACAGGATTGCAGGGTATACCATTTGGTTGGTTGATGATGCATGGAGGGGATTGTAACCATGGCAATGTAACGATATACAATAGGATGAATGTACAGCTAATGTGCTCACATGTTAACTATCACATAATTCACAATAAAACATTTTTTAAAAATCAGGGGGAACAAAAAAAATCTTATTGATCAAAGAGAATCATGGATCCAAAGACTATAGTCCTTAAGGGAACAAATCTTTACAGTGAGGATAAATCCCACCCCCTCGGTACACAGGGTTGACAGGGATGGGCAACCAAAAATGGGGGGACCTATAAAGGCAGAAGTGACTGGCTTACAAGCTTTCAAGAGAAAGCCTAGTTCCAGACGGGGCAGGGGAAGGTAGAATCTCCTCTAAATGATTTCCAATCTGTTGGGACCAGGGTGATGAAAAGAAATCGGGATAAAACTCTTGTGGTACAATAGTGAATAATTGCCATCAGGACTAACTGTGAGGGTAGGAAATATAGAGGTAGACGTTATTTGACAAAAGGAGGGGAGAGATTGATTTTGCAACCCAGGAGCAGAGGTCCCTGGGATCATCAAGTGAGAAGAGCAGCGAGCAGGACCCTACCCAGAGAGGCAGAGATGCCAGGGATGGAGACAGAGACGATGATGTGGACAGATGGAGTGGCTGGGAACACTGAACTCAGGGAGGGAGAGGGGTTGTGTGCTGACGGACTGGGGGTGGGCCTGTGTGGTGTACCCTTTGGTTATTTATGATGCATGAGGGGATTGTAATCATTGCGTGAAAGGAAACATGACAGGATGAATGTAAAACTGATATTCTTCCATGTAAACCTCACAAAAAAAAACTTAAAAAAAAAGACTATAGTTCTTGCTCATCCTTTAGATTTGCAACTGGAATCACCTGATGGCTCAATTTTCAGCCAAGCGATAGACAGGAATATTGGGGGTGAGGAGCAGCAGTATTAGTGAGGTTGGATATTGTTTGAGATTTTAAAAGGTAACACTTATCTTAGAACAAAATTCAGAAGGATGAGTAAAGAAAGCAGAATGCAAGCAAGAAACGTAAGGAGGAAGTTTGATAAGTGATGTTAAATTGAAGGGATTGTAATCCTTGAGATGAAATGAAATGTTTTTTAATATAATGTTTTGGGTTCTGAAATGTTATATTTGTACTCTTATTTCATCTCATTTTAACCCGAACACACTTTAAAATAGGAAGATGCTTCTAAAGCTAAACCCAGTTAAGGTCTAGATTTAGTTAAGGAGGACTAAATGTTTACTGCTGACTTCAATTTTATATTTTTATTAAGTTAGAAGTAATTATTTCCAAGTAAAAATAAAAATTTCTGCAGAATCTTTGCAAAATACTGCTTTAAGGGAGTGCACAATTAGCTAAGCCTTCCTTTATTGGTTCTGTCACTGAGGGATCTCATTATCTGTGAGAGTTAATTCTCTTTCTAATTTATACCCTTAATCTTCCACACACCATGAGTTGCATCATTCTGCCAAAGATACTTTCATCTTCAATGATGGGTACAAAATATCTTAGCATGGAGTACAAGCAATTCTATCTTAATATCTCTATTTCTACAAGTACTTAGAAAAGAATGAGATTATGAGAGTAAATCCAGCCTTCTACCCACATTGCATAGAAAGATGCTTTCTACACAAATTGCTAAAGCTGGGACAAACAGTGGCAATACAAGTCACTAGGACAGTGGAGCAATTACTTTAGATTAAAGTTCAAAGTAGAGGGATTGCTGGGTAATATTGTATTTCTACTTCCAACTTTCTGAGGAAGCACCACACCATTTTCCAGAGTGGCTGAACCATTTTACAGTCCCACCAGCACTGTAGGAGGGTCCCAGTCTCTCCACACCCTCACCAGCATTTGTTGTTTTCTGTTTTTCTAAACTCTGCTATTAATGCTGGGGTGAAATGATGGCTCATTGTTGTTTTGATTTGTATCTCTCCTGGTATGGTTAATGTATCAGACTGCAAAGCCGTTTGAACTGCAAGGTTGGCCTGTTCAAGCTCATCAGCTGCTCCTCAGAAACCCTATACAGGGTCGCTATGGGTCAGAATTGATTCGATGGCACTTAACAACAATAACAATGGCTAATGAATTTCTTAGTATTTCTTAACTCCTCTCTATCCCTTGCTTACCATTTCCAACACTGCCATCTTGTTGTTATTGTTGTTGCTAAGTGCCATCAAGTCAGTTCTGACACATAGCTATCCTGTATAAGGTTTCTGAGGAGTGGATAGTGAGGTTTGAACTTCTGACCTTGTGGTTCGAACTGACCTTGTGGTCCAGTGCATTATCCTTGTTGTGGTTGTTAGGTGCCATGGAGTTGGTCCTTAGCCCTCATCATTTTAAAATCCATATTAACTTAATTACATCCTAATTATCTGTCTGTCTCCAGGTTCAACCTCTTACTTTATTCTATGAAAACCATATTTTCAATTCCAAACAGAGTCCAGAATAATCTCTGAGGTGCATATCAAACATACCACTACTCTCCTGCTTGATACTTAAACATCAATACAAGAGTTCAAGTGGTCCTGTTCTATAATCCTTTCCCATGTCCCTGCTGCCAGGCTGCCAAGGTCTTCCCAAAGGAAGAAACTAGGCTGGAGGATGGCCACAATCCAGCCCACACCTAAGCTCCTCAGGAAGGGGCAAAAGCGAGCGGCTCCTTAGATCTTCTCTTCCAACTTAACCATCAACCACATTTCTTAGGAAGAAACTAAAATAACCCTCATCAAGAGCTGTCAGAATCCCAAATTTAAGAGTAGGGTCTGCCACAAAAATCCAAACTCCTAAAATAAAATAATATTTTTAATTAACCAGAAACCTTTTCTTCAAGTAGTATCTAATGCAGAACCTTATAGCATGTGGTTGAAAACAGTGTTTTGAAACTGAAAACACTGGCAGAAATTAGATCATGTGAAGCTTTACAGGCCATGGAATAAAATTCAGATTTAGTTAGATGAAATATAAAGTCAGTGGGGATATGAAGCAGGGATATGATAAAACCTGACTTACATCTCTGAAAGACCATCATGATTGCTGTGTGTGAAAGAGGTGACGATGTTAAGGATTTCAATATTTCTGATTTATTTTCAACAACCTCAATACCTGGAAAGAGTGACATCTATACTATAATTATTGGTGATCACTAAATAGGAGTCACAGAATACCTGATCCTCGCTGGTCAATCCAAGGTGCAGCACCAAGTAAAAATGTACCAGGAAATCTGAATTTGGCAGAACGTCCTGGCGTCTGGTCATCATGGCACAGATCAGTCTGTAGGCTTGTAGTTTGCCTTCCTTGTATTCATTTGGCAATGTCGTTGCCTGCCAAGGACAGGAGGATTAAAGATTAAATCAACTCCAGATGCAAAGCATTTCAACATTTCATTTACTTCTTGGTTTTCTAGAAAAGTTGTTTATGGAGATGTGGCATACAGTAGCTTTCGTAAGACCCAGCCTGTCTTCAAAATATGCAGTCTTGGGCAATTACATTTATTAAACTCAATTTCAGAAAGGAAGGGGAAATTGTACTAAAGAAAGGAATAAATACATAACCACTTGCCTTAAATAGCCATGATGCAAAGATTCTGAGTGGTGGGATCAAGACTGGAGGAGATGGAGAAGACTGGTTATCCAGGCTTATTGCTAAATTATCCCGTATCTAAGATACAGAGAGGAGAAATTTAAGGTATGCAATAGTCAGTTTATTCCAAAGCTATTTGAATAGCGTCTTCCATAGCCCAATGGATGTTCCTACTTCAGTTTCTTTAAGTTTCAGAAAAACCTACAATATTTAAAATTTTTCCTTGTGAGATCTATTGTCCTTCTAAATTGTGTATCTGGCGTACTGTATTTTAGATTTAAATACAAAATGATAGCATGGTTTATCTTTGAATGCTAATGCCTGGAGATGTCCTGAACTCCAAATAATCAGTAATGCTTTAACAAATTATACTGTACCAACATAAATTATGATTTTGAAGAAACATCAGTAACATGGTAAAATGTATGCTACAAACAAAGAAACCAGAGTACAAACTGTACCTATCTAAGACTCTACTTTTGTAAAGATGTGCTTATCCACAAAAATAAGACTATATAATAATTGGTTATGTCTGTGGTATGATGATGTTAATATTTGTTTTCGTACTTTTCTACATTTAAAAAACTTGGTACAATACAACATTTCTATAGGCACCTTGGAAAGAAGGTCTGGTGATCTACACTGAAAAATCAGCTGCTGAAATCCTACAGAACACAGTTCTACTCTGGCACATATAGGGTCTCTGAGAGTTGGAATTAACAGTAGTTGGGTTGGTTTTTGGTTTTGTAATGAAAACTATTAAAACTACTTTATTTTTTGAAAAAAAATATGCTATCAAGGAGCCCTACTATAGTTATTAATCAAAAGGTCAGTGGTTCAAGTCCATAAAATAGGAGAAAGGTGTGGCAGTCTGTTTCTGTGAAGATTACACCTTTGGAAACCCCACGGGGCAATGAGACAGTTTTACTCTGTCCTATAGGGTAACTAAGAGTTGGAATTTACTTGAAAGCAATGGTTTATAGTAAATAAAGTGGCATCAAACCTTCCTCCCACACACTCTTACTTCTGTTTGGTTCAATAATGGATTGCAACTGTCAACAGAACTCGCTCACCATACTTACAGTTAGAGGGATTATTAGGGAAGTTGTTGTTGCTATTAGGTGCCGTCAAGCAACCTTATGAACAACAGAACTGAACAACACCTGGTCCTGTGCCAACCTCACAACTGCTGCTACACTTAAGAAAATGGGAAGTTGCCACTACCACTGTGCCAATCCATCTATTTTGCTGACCCTCCACTTTACCAAGCATGGCTGCCTTCTCCAGGAACTGGTCCCTCCTGATAATATGTCTGAAGTATGAGAGACAAAGTCTAGCCATCCTTGCTTCTAAGGTGCATTCTGGTTGTATTTCTTCCAACCCAGATTTGTTCATTCTTTCAGCTGTCCATGGTAATTTTAATATTCTTCTCCAACATCATAACTTAAATGTAATAATTCTTATATGGTCTTCAACCATTGCTCAACTTTCACATGTATATGTGGTTATTGAAAATACCACGGCTTGGGTCAGGCACACCTTACCACTCAAACTGAAATCTTTGCTCTTGAACACTTTAAAGAGGTCTTGCATAGCAGGTTTGAGTAATGCAATACATCATTTGGCTACTGCTTCCATGAATGTTTATGTTTGATCCAAGCAAAATGAAGACTTTGACAACTTCAATCTTTTCTTCATTTATCCTGATGTTATTTATTGGTCCAGTGATATGGATTTCTGTTTTCTTTACATTGAGGTGCAACCCACACCAAAGACTGTGGTCTTTAGTTTCATCAGCAAGTATTTTAAGCCCTCCTCACTTTCAGCAAGCAAGGTTGTATCATCTGCATATCGCAGGTTATTAATGAGTCTTCCTCCAATTCCGATGCCATATTCTTCTTCATATAATCCAGCTTCTCAGATTATTTGCTCAGCATATAGATTGAGTAAATATGGTGAAAGAATACAACCCAGGCACATACCTTTCCTAATTTTAAACCATTTAGTGTTCTTTGTTCTGGTTGACCAACTGCCTCTTTTTCTATGTACTAGTTCCTCATGGGCATAATTATTGTTCTGGAAAACTCATTCTCCACAATTTTGTCTACAGTTTGTCATGATCCACACAATCGAAAGCCTTTGTATAGTCAATAAAGCACAGGTACACATCTTTACAGTATTCTCTGTTTTCAACCAAGATCCATCTGATGTCAGCAATAGCAGTGGAACACTGTCAGCTAGCACCAGAACATTGCAAATTGAAACATAAAGACAAACACAGAACACTGTAAGATATACTGCAAGAAGATGAACCCCTCAGGTTGGAAGGCACTCAAATTTGACTGGGGAAGAGTGCTTTCTCAAAGTTGAGTTAACCATGATGATGCAAATGGAGTAAAGATTTTGGGGCTTTCATTTGCTGATGGGGCACAACTCAAAATGAGGAAAAACAGCTGTAAACATCATTAATAACTGGAACATATAATGTACAAAGTATAAATCTAAGAAAATGGGAAGTTGTCAAAACTGAAGTGGAAAATATAACATCAATATTCTAGGTATTCATAAACTCAAATTGACTTGTATTGACCATTTTGAATCTGACAATCACATGGTTTACTATGCAGGGAATGACAAACTGAAGAGGAATGGAGTCATATTCATAATCAAAAAGAACATTTCAAGATCTACCTTGAACTACAATGCTGTCTGTGATAGGATAATATTTGTATGTCTACAAAAAAGACCAGTTAATACAACTATTATTCAAATTTACTCAGCAACCACTAAAGCCAGTGATGATGAAATTGAAGAATTCTATCAACGTCTTCATTTTGTAATTGATTAAACATGCAATCAGGATGTATTGGTAATATCTGGTGATTGGGCTTCAAAGGATGGAAACAAAGAGGAAGGATGAGTCATTGGAAAACATGGTCTAGATGACAAAAACGAAGCTGGAGATTGCATGACACAATTTTGTAAGATCAGTAACATCTTTACTGCAAATAACCCTTTTATAGACAACATAAAAGATGGCTATACAAAAATGGACCTCACCCGACAGAATAAACAGAAATCAAACTGACTACATCTATGGAAAGAGATGGTGGAAAAGTTCCATATCCTCAACCAAAACAAGGCTAGGGGCAGAATGTGGAACAGACTATCAATTGCTCATGTGCAAGTTCAAACTGAAGTTGAAGAAAATTAAAACGAGTCCATGAGAGACAACATATGACCTTGAACTATCTCACCTGAATTTAGAGATCATATCAAGAACAGATCTGATGAATTAGACACTAATGACCAAAGACCAGAAGAGCTGTGAAATGACATCACGAACATCATACAAGAAGATAACAAGAGGTCATTAAGAAGACAAGAAAGACGGAAAAGCCCAAAATGGATGTCAGAAGAGATGCTCAAACTTGCTCTCCAGAATAGAGATGCTAAAGCAAATGGTAGAAATGAGGTGGTAAAAGAGGTGAATAGAAAATAAATTTCAAAGGGCAGCTCAAAAAGACACAATCAAATATTATAATGAAATGTACAAAGACCTGGAGTTACAAAACCAAAAAGGAAAAACATTCTCAGCATTTTTCAAGCAGAGGGAACTGAAGAATAAATTCAAGCCTTGACTTGCAATACTGAAGGATTCTAAGGGCAAAATACTGAATGATACAGAAAGCATCATAAGAAGATGAAAGGAGTACACAAAGTACTGCACCAAAAGGAAATGGTTGGCACTCAACCATTTCAAGAGGTAGCATATGATTAAGAACCAACGATCCTGAAGGAAGAAGTCCAAGGTGCACTGAAGTCTCTGGGAACTGATGAAATACAAATTGAAATATTTTACCATCTGGCACTGGAAGCACTCACTCATCTTGGCCAAGAAATCTGGGAGAGAGATACCTGGCCAACTGATTGAAGAGATTCACGTTTGTGCACATTCCAAAGAGAGGTGACCCAACTGAATGCAGAAAGCATCAGACAACATTAATATTGAACACAAGTAAAATTTTGCAATAGATCATTCACAAATGACTGCAACAGTACATTGACAGAGAACTGCCATAGGTTCCATCTGATTAGGACATGGAATGAGGGATAGCATTACTGACATAAGTTGGATATTGGTTGAAAGCAGAGAATACCAGAAAAACTAGGGAAGTTAACAGGTTATAATTCAGGACCAGAAATGTTCAGGGCACAGTTCTTTCTGGACAGCCACTCCTCAGCTGTACTCATAGGCAGGTCTTTCTATGGCCAGCCAATGTTACACACCTAGTTTAGAACTACTGATAAATGCCCACAGGACATGCCACCCCACCATAAGCCTCAACCTGAACCTATCTTCCCCCAGTTAAGTGCCTGGAGGCATTTCATTCTGCAAAAAATCCCTCCCATTCCAAGTCACTCAGTTTTACTTGCTCTGTTGACCAGGGAATCCACTGGTCTGTCTCATATTCTGGTTCTTTGGGGTGCTGTTGCTGCTCCTCTGTCACTCCTCAGCTACTTTTTCAGTGTCAGTTTTCTGTCCTGGGTTCAAGAAGGTTCAATGCACAGGGATCTCAGGATCCAAAGAGCCATTCCTGGCTCTTTCAACTTGATGGTAATGAGATCCCACCTCCTGCTTCTGAGATGGCTCATTTTATACCCAACAGGATGGCAAAATTGACCAATCACTATTTGCCTTGTTAACAATCCTTATAACAGAATCATACAGTCCACCGGCATCTTCCCCAACCTTCTGTCATCTAGACCCACCATGACTCCAATCAAAGAAGAGCAAGGGAGAGAAAGCTGTTACACAAAGGAATGGCAGCAACAGAATCAGAGCACGAGACAGAGCTCTCACAGAGCACACAGGCAGCAGGCTAGTTGGCAGAGTGATGTGCCTCCAGGCACTTAATTAGGGAACTCAGTTTGCTGACCCATCAAGTTAGGGTCAAGACTGAGGTTTATGGTGGTGTGGCATGCCCTGGGGGCATTTATCAGCAACTCTAAAAGATCTCTAATGTTGTGGGGGGCCATGGCTGAAAGGCTGAGGGCCAGAGAGAGGCAGGTCTGTGGGCACAACAGAGAAGAGGCTGCCCTGACCGAAAAACTGTGCTGTGATCATTTCTAATCCAGAAGCAACATGTTAACTTCCCTAATAAACCCCATAACTGTGAGCATGATACCTGACTTGTGTGTGGCCGCCGCAGTGAATTATAGAGCCCAGTCTAGTAGAGAGTGTTGTGGGAGGAGGGGTGGCTGGTACCATAATTTTTGCATGGGCTAAACAAAATAATTCCTTTGTATTTATAAAGCGGCCACTATAAATGTTATTTGTTCTTTAAAATCAAGCATAAAAAACCCAACATTGTTGCTGTCAAATCAATCTCAACTCACAGTAACTGTGTTATAGAACAAAATTGTCCCACCGGGTCTTCTTGGTTATAATCTTTTTTTTTTCTAAATACATGTTCTAATTTTTTCACATCTTTATTGTGAATTGAGTGATCGTTTACATGGGTGAACATTAGTTTTACACGTATCGTTTCACAGCAATGATTACAATCTCCTCCATGTATTCAACAGTATTTGCTTCTATTCCCTTTGGGGTTTTTTGTTTTGTTTTGTTTTTGATGTACACAAAAACACTCAGGAATATATCATCATTTAAACAACCAAAGGGCACATTCTGCAAGCCTGCCTCCTGGCTGCAAGCACACAGCCTTTCTCTTTCCATGAGTCTAGAGTCCTCAGCAGTTGTATTTCTCCATTTCATCATCTCTGCCTCCATCTCTGGTATTGCTGCTTCTCTGGATAGGGTTTCACATTCTGCTTGTGCTCCTCTCCCTTGATGTTCTAGAATCCTCTGTTCCAAGACTGCAAGATTAACTCTTGTTGTTGTTGTTATGTACCGTGGAGTCGGTTCTGACTCATAGCGACCCTGTACAAGGTTTCCAAGGCTGTAAATCTTCACAGGAGCCTCATCTTTCTCCCACAGAACAGCTGGTAGTTTTGAACTGCTGACCGTGAGATTAGCAGCCTAATTCGTAACTAATACACTACCAGAGCAAGATTTACTACTCCCCCCTTTTTGTTACAAAACTTCTATCTTTACTGTTGGGACAGTCGCAATTAGTCATGATAACATTGGTTGTAATCTTAAAGGAAGCAGATCACCATATCTTTCTTCAATGGTACAAATTGGTAGGTATGAACCGCCAATCTTTGGAGCTAAGCATAAAACATTTGCACCTAGTAACCTCTTTGTCTAAACACCTAATATGCTTAGTAGTTAATTGCAACACAGTTTTTGCATCAAATAATAAATGTATTTTCCTGTATTAGAATAAAACGTAAGGCAGCAGAACATACCTTTGCTAGCTTGTACCAGAGGTCATAGAGATAGCCAAATACTTTGGCATGGATCTTGGGTGACTGGATATTATTCACATCCCCAAGGATTCCCAAGGCTCTTCGCCATAACACAGCAGCAGAATCTGGGTGCCAACCAGTGAGATTCCCTCCAGCAATGATGCTACAATCATCAGCAAGGCATTCACTGCTATCTATGGAAAAAAATGCGTGCTTTAGCCATGAAAATACAATCTTTATTTCATCAGCATCATCTTTATTCTTTAATATAAATTATTAAAATCAAAAATACATGAATTCAGAGAAAAAACTTAAAATGAAAAATGAGAAATAGCTGAGCACTCAAAGGCTAGAAAAGTAAAATCAATGATGAAGAGGCAACCACCTAGAAATGACACAACAGTCCCTGGGGATCCTGTGAAGGGTTTTATAAAGTAGAAGTGGAGAATGGGAAGAACCTTGAATAGAATGGGTAGAGATGGTTTGGTTAGGGAGGGCCTCAGGGCTGGAGTCACGTTTATGGATGTTGTTGTAAAATTAAAGCAAATCTGTTGCCTTCAATTCTGATTCATAGCAACAGCATAAGAAAGAACAACCAAACCCAATGTCATCGAGTCAATTCCAACACACAGGCCTCCAATATAGGATTTCCAATCTTTACCGAGTAGACAACCTCATCTTTCTTCTGCAGAGTGGTGGTGGGTTCAAATGGCTGTTCTCTGATTATCAGCCATGTGCTTAATCACAGTGCCACCAGGGATCCTTTTGTTAAAGCCATGTTATCTTTTTGTTAGTTGGCATCATATTGAGTCTAACTCATTGTGATCCATGTACAACAGAAAAACATTACCTGACCCTGTGTCATCCCCACAATTACTAGCACGGTCTTGTCTGTCTAAGAACTATTTAAGTACCAATCTATATCAAGGAGATTCTCTCAGCCTATTGGTCCTCCACTTCACCCAACATGATGGCCTCCTACAGTAACTGATCCCTCTAAAGACATGTCTAAACCAAGTGAGTCAGACAATATTCTCTTGTCATCTATAACATTTTCACTGGCTAATTCTTGGCAGTAGACCATGAGGTCTTTCTTCTTTGTCTTAGTCTAGAAGTCCACCTGAAATCTGTGACCTGGCTGGTATTTTAAATACTGTGGCATAATTTTGAGCACCATAGCAACATGCAAGCCACCACAGAATGATAAACTGATAGACAAGGGGCAAGAAAGTCAGGCTTATTGGGATACAATTTTCAGATAATAAATTTTCATCCCTTTTATGAAATGCATCATGTCATGTATATTTATATATCCCACAAATACATAAGCCCTTGAAAGAGAATATTTGTACATGGATAACCACAGGGAGGAAGCAGAACAACTGTTGTTGCATGGAAAGAACTGCAATCATTAAGGTGAGACAAAGTGTATGATTTATTGAATGTAAAACTGATGATTCTGTCTATAAACCTTCACTCAATTCACAATTTAAAAAATTAAAAAAAAAAAACCCTTTATAAGTCCCATCACCCTACTCTCAGCATGTGGCAACTATGTAGCAAACTGCTATTTTCTATTCCTGTGGTTATGAGTCAGGCTGCTAACCTCAAGGTCAGCAGTGTGAAACTACCAGTCATTCTGCAGGTGAAAGATGAGGCCATAAAGATTTACAGCCCTGGTCAAATGCCCTTCTAAAACTGAAACTCAAAGGGAATACACAAGCAGGTATATCATCTTTCTGGTGACCATGATGGTCTATTGATAAGGGGAAGTGGGAGAAAAACAGCAACGAAGCTGTGAACTAAATCCAACCATGTTCAACAAAGTCCTGTCAACCTGGATTGTGAACTGGTTGGCCAGCAGTATAGTGAGACTTGGGGAACATAGTCACAGAGGACTAGAGCAGACAGTGAAGCATCCAGCTGATCTGAAGTGAGGGGGGGAGAAGCACAAAAATGTCCATACTTGCAAATAGTACCCACTTGACCTGGTTTCAATGGCTGGATGATCAGAATTGGACCAGAGAAAAAAAGAAGAGGAAAAAAATGTGTAATCTGCTACAATTTGGTGAACCTGACCTATACTTATGGATGTAGTAGCTTCAAAGAGGGAATGAATCTTTATAGCAAGGATCATTCCCACCCCCTCTGCACACAGAGTTGACAGGGATGAGCAACTTAGACATTGGCTACCCAAAATTAGGGGGTGGTATGCCTACAAAAGCACAAAGCTCACAAGTTTTCAAGAAGGTGCTTGGACAATCTCCACTGAATGGTTTCCATCCTGTCTAGACGGGACTGGTGAAAGGAAATGGGGATAAGACGCCTGTGGTTCAACAGTGAATAACTGCTATCAGGACTGATTGTAAATGTTACAAATGTAAAGGAAGATGTTTTGTAACTAAAAGAGGAGAGTGGTTGATCTTGCAGTCTAGGAGCGGAGGACCCTGGGACCATCAAGGGAGAAGAGCTGATGGTGGGATGCTATCTAGAAAAGCAGGGACACCAGAGATGGAGGCAGAGACGATGACATGACTGGGAGAGATGGAGCGGCTGGGGACTCCAGACTCAAGGAGGGAGAGGGGCTGTGTGCTGGTGGTCGGGGGGCTGGTGTGCAAGGTATGGTATATACTTGGGTTGTATGAATGGTTATATATTCCTGAGTGCTACGGTATATATCCAAAAAAAACAAAAGACAACAGAGGGCTTGGATGCAAATCCTGTTGAATGATAATGCACAGAGGGGATTGGAATCATTGCAATGAAACGAAATACAGCAGAATGGATTTAAAGCTGATGCTATCCATGTATATTATCACTCAATTCACAATAAAAACTTAAGATAAAAAAAAAGATTTACAGCCCTGGAAACCCAGTCGCTATGCATTGGAATTGACTCCATAGCACACAACCACCACCATCACCAGCCTAGACTTTCACGTAATTACATATAAATGGAATTCTACAGTATGTAGCTTTTTCTGCCAGGCTTTTTTTACTTAGCATCATGCATTTGAGATTCATCCATGTTGTCATTTTACTGCTGATTAATATTATGTTTTATGGATAAACCAATTTGTTTTTCCAGTTACCTGCTGAAAGAAATTTGGATAGCTTCCATTTTAGGAGAATTATGAACAAAGCTGCTCTAATTGTGCATGTACAGGTTTTTGTGTGAACATGTTGGTATTTCTCTTTGATAATTACCAAAGAGTGGAATTCCTGGGTTATAAGTGTATGTTTAACTCTTAAAGAAACTGTCAAACTGTTTTCCAAAATGGCTATACCAGATTTCATTTACAGAAGTAAAACACTAATTCTACTTGCTCTATATCTATGCCAGGACGTGGTAGTGTCAGGTTTTTTAATGTAAACCATTCTGATTGGGAAACACAATATAGTTAAGACATCAATATTATCCAATGCAATCTATAGATGCAATCCTAGTCCAAACTCCAAGAACATTCTTTACAGAAATAGAAAAGTCAATTGTCTATTTTACATAAAAAGGCAAGAGGTCCCAAATAGCCAAAGCAATTTTGAGAAGAACAAGTTAGAAAGACACACACTTATTGTTCCCAATTAAAACAGTCTGGCACTGGTATGACAACAGACTAATGGAATAGAATTGAGAGTCCAGAAATAAACCCATACAGCTGATTTTCAACATGGGAGTTAAGTTCACTCAATGGACAAGCAGGAGTCTCTTTAATACAGTAAGAAAATTGGATTTCCACATGCAGAAGAATAAATTAGGACCCAGGCTTCACACCATACACAAAAAAATTTCAAAACGAATCAAGGGCCTAAATGTGAAAATTAAAGCCATAATAATTCTTAGGGAAAAAATCAGGGATATAGCTGTAGGACCTAGCTTTAAACAATGGAGTATCAAATATAACAAAAACAGTAACAACAAAAGACAAAATAGGTAAACAGGATCTCATAAAAATTAAATACTTCTGTTCATCAAAGGACTTTATTTAAAAAAAAAAAAAAGTAAGACACCATACAGCTTGGGAGAAAATTTGGGAACCGTAATTGAACAAGGGTCCAATAACCAAATATATACAAAACTATAACAAACAGACACACAACCTAATCTATAAATTTTCAAAGGACGTGGACAGACATTTTAGCCAAAGAGGATACTCCAATGGCCAACAGTACTTGAAAAAATGCTCAATATGATTAACCTAAAAATATATATATTGCTGTTGAGTTGAGGAGACTCATAGCAACCTGTTTTATGGATAAACCAATTTGTTTTTCCATTCACCTGCTGAAAGAAATTTGGATAGCTTCCTATTTGGGGGCATTATGAATAAAGCTGCTCTAAATGTGCATGTACAGGTTTCTGTGTGAACATGTTGGTATTTCTCTTTGATAATGCCCAATGAGTAAAATTCCTGGGTTATATCATAAGACATATAACAGTATAGAACTGCCCATAGGATTTCCAAGGCTTTAAATCTTTACAGAAGCAGACAGCCATGTCTTTCCTCCGTGAAGCAAGCAACTAGTAAGTTCAAATTGCCAATCTTTTGGTTAGTAGCTAATTGCTTAACCATAGCCCACCAGGGCTCCTTCATTAAACATCACCAACCATAATTGCTGGTGTTACTGCCGTCTGCCATTCATAGTTGTCTCTATAGGTTTCCGAGGTTGTCAATCATTATGGGAGCAGAAAGCCTCATCTTTCGCCCGTGGAGCTGCTAGTGGATTCAAACTACTAACTTGTAGTTAGCAGCCCAACGTGCAACCCTATATCTCTGAGATACCACTTCATACCATAGGATAGCTGTACCACATTTTATTTATTCATTCATCCACTGATAGCATATTGGATTACAAGCTGGGTTGCTAACAGCAAGGCAAGCAGTTCCAATCTACCAGTTGCTCCATGGGAGAAAGATGACGCTTTTACAGTCTCAGAAACCCTATTAGGGGTCACTGTGAGTTAGAACCGACTTGCCTGCACACAACCAACCATCGTTCATCTACCATCGGTCACCTAGGGTGCTTCAAACTTTTAGCTATTATGAATAGAGCTGCAGTGAACATTGTTGTACCTGTATCTGTCCATGTTTGGGCACATATACTTAGGAGAGGAACTGCTGGGTCTTATAGTAATTCTATGGTTTAATTTATGTATCACTAAATTGTATAGCTAAAAGTGTTGAGTTGGTATATG